AGTGGAGCTTCCTGAACTTTCTAGAACCTCCACAGATGTTTGATGTGACTGATTTGAAATCACCACTTTTCACTGTAATTTATCAGACAGATCTCCACACACACACACACACATACACACACACACACCCCGTCTTTAAACTGACTCCAAAAATAAAAAATTAGAGAAGAGAAAAACCAGAGCACAGACTGTGATTTTTAAAGGTCAGAAAAACAGAATTGGTGGTTGAAAAATGTGGGAGAGAGAGAGAGAGAGAGAGAGAGAGAGAGAGGAGGACTGGGGCGGAGGAGGAGGAGGAGGAGGAGGAGGAGGAAACATTAGTGAACGGCTGTCAGGTCAAGTAGTCCTTTAATGCTTTGATTATCAAATGAAAGCAGCATTTAACACTCACTCCCTGTGGTGGAGGAGGACGGGGGGGGAGAGGGGGTGAGAGAGAGAGAGAGAGAGAGAGAGAGAGAGAGAATAATACAGAGACATTTAAGTCACAGTCCTTTCATGAACCCCTGGGTGAAAAGTACTTGTCAGTACTTCGTCAGTGAAGTTTGTTCAGGCTCTGACCTTTGATGTTCCTTTAACCACAGCTGCTGGTTCTGTGTTGGTCCAAGTCACTCAACGGTACCAGAACTGGACCTACTGTTACACAGTGGCTAAACTGGAGTACTGCAGTTGTTCCTCAACCTCCACTCTACGACCGTGTGTGTGTGTGTGTGTGTGTGTGTGAGACCTACGTCAGCTGCTGGCTGAGCTTCTCTCTCTCTTCTCTCAGTGTGTGGATCTCCTCACAGGAACGTCTCAGCTCCACTTCCAGCACTAAACACACACACACACAAACACAGACTCATGTTGGGTTCAGTCGATCCGTGACCCAGTGTAAACCAGAACCCGTCCTGTGTTCCATTATATGAGCCACAGGTAGAGGGCGACAGAGGCACAGGGTGAGGAGACAGACGACCCACGTCTCCAGAAAAGACAGAAACTTTACACCAAATGAAACTCACGACAAGAAAGACAGAATGAAGACAGGAGACCCAGACGGA